TTGCAGTTACAGGTGGCAGCAGAACGCTGGGGCTCACTTAGTCAGCTTGCTGTTTCTGTGGCTTCTGGTAAAGCTGCACCTACCCGTGCTCATCTTCATGCTATCAACGATAGGAGGCGAGGGGTAATGGATGACAAAGAAGCTGTTGCAGACAAAAGAAATCAGACTTATGCTAGAAAGGTAAAGTCTGATGTGAGCCGGTGAATTTACTATTTGACGACAGTTAGTTGCTTTGTATTTCTCTTGTTTCTCTTTACAGGTTGCGCTTGTACGTTTGTAATTTTAGTTCTTGATGGAGTGACATCTGAATATCAAGTTTTTATTAATTTATTTTGGCTTTTTTTAAACAATTATTCAGTAGTCTCATTTCTAAGAATCTGCGCCTTGATCCTTCTAAATTCAAAAGGAAAGTGGTGTAGTTTCCTTTACTAAGAGGAAATGACAATTTGGCTATTTTTGTGCTATGTTTTATTGGTCTTACTTGTCTCATAAACATGTGTTTGCAGGACACATCCGCTGGTCATTCTAAAATGCGAATGCCCAACCCTAAAGATTCTTTATCATGGCGCAAAGAGAAAAATCAAAATATATCCAATGCGGATGCGGGGCTTATTGCCACTGCAATTTCTAGTGTAAATAAATTTTCCAACGACGGAAATTTTATGCGTGAATTTATGCATGAAAAGAGTGGTGATCCCAGTCATGCTCGTGATTCTTCAAATCCAAGGTCAGGAGTCTCGGAATCAAAACCAGATTTACCAGTATATGAGAAAACAGGTGAAGATGGAACAAATATCAAACCAGCCTTGACTGCAAATCAATTAGCTGCAAAAGTGATGCAGCTTCGCATGAGAGGGATGCATGATGAAGCAGAAAAACTTCTGGTGAGCAATAATTCATTCTCTTCTGTAGATATTTCAAATTAGCACGACGGTTAGTCAAGACCATTTTATTTCAAGTAACATCACTGATATTTGATGTTGCAGGCCTTTTAAAACGCATCAATAGTTTGTAACGGGTCATCTGCTTTATCTATTGGTCGTAGGTTCCAAAATGATTCATCTTTACTAGATCTTGTTCTCTTAGCTAGTATCGTTTTTATTCTAAATTGACAGTCAAGACCATGTGTATTTCAAGTAACATCACTGATATTTGATGTTGCTGGCCTTTTAAAACGCACCAATAGTTTGTAATGTGTCATCTGCTTTATCTATTGGTCATAGGTGCCAAAATGATTCATCTTTTCTAGATCTTATTTTCTTAGCTAGATCAGTCTGTAAATTTCTTTCTTTGCCGCTTTCTCGAAACTAGTGACATTGTTAAAGCATCTCCATGTTGGGCAGCTTGCCGTTTCTGTAAGCAAATTACTAGGGGGAGGTTTATTATAAGACTTAATGACACTTAGTCTCGAGCGGACTGTGTAGGCTCCATGATTGTATTCAACTTGTAGTGCATCACTTTCTTTTTCAGAAAGAAGCAGAGGAGATGAAAATGAAACAAACTGCTAATGATGTGTCGAGCAGACCACCAATTCATGGGAGCACAAGCAGGTATTTTATATCTGAATTGTCAGTTGTGGCTTTCTTGACTTGATGAATGGTTCTTTTTATGTTTTGATCTCAATGCCTACCAACATACTGAATGTGCTGGCTCTTATCCTTTATTTAGATATGTGATGCATGACCTATCTGCTCGGCAAAATAAGAAAATGGAGGATGCTGATGTGCATCTTGCTCAGAAGATAGTGCAAAACAAACAATATAGTACGTATGGTCAGGCAGATGATGAGTACGATTATGATGATGGGCCGAGGAGAAAGTCCCGGAAAAAAGTAGGAATGGGGAATCAGAAATCTCTTGAGGTAGCTCATCATGCAAGGCGCGTTTTGACTCAGCAAGAGAGATGCCAATTCTGCTTTGAGAATCCAACAAGACCAAAGCACTTGGTGGTTGCCATTGCAAATTTCACTTACTTATCACTGCCAGTTTGGCAGCCGATTGTCCCAGGTCATTGCTGCATCTTGACAATGCAGGTGACTTTGAGCCCTTCTCTGGTCATATATCTGTAGGTTATCTTTTTCGTTCGTTCTTGTGTATAATTAAACAACTAATTGAATTTCGAAGAAATAATCTTTAGTGTGCTAGATCTTCTTGGGTAGAATGTCGTATTAGCAATACGGAGATCCCTGTTCTTATTTGTCCGTGTTACTGCATTTCAAGAAATCATTTACATCAGAAGAGAATATTTTCTGTTGTGGTAGATACGTCAGGACACTGTTGCTGCCAAAATTCTTGTTATATCGCTATCTTTGCTCCCAATTCTCTGTTTTTTGTCATAATGACCTTTGCTTTCTCTCTGAACAGCATGAATCAGCTACAAGATCTTTGGATGATAATGTCTGGGAGGAATTTAGGAATTTCAAGAAATGCCTCTTAATGATGTTTGCAAAGCAGGAGAAGGATCTTATTTTTCTTGAGACTGTTATGGGTTTGGCCCGGCAAAAGCGGCATTGTTTGATCGAGTGCATTCCTATGCCCAAGGAAGTTGCGAAGCAGGGACCTCTGTACTTTAAAAAGGTTTGCAAAAGCATCCTATAAGTCGGCCATTTTATTATTTTAGCTACTGTCTATCAAGTTTTGGTTTGGAATGAGTTGGGATTTCTCTGTAGAAATTGCCTAGACTTTCCTAATTGTGATATGAAGGGGGTTTTGACAAAGCATCCGAAGGATTATCAGTTGGATTTTAAGTCAATATGATTAGAAAGTGGCCGGAAACTGTGAAATATGAAATGTCGTTATGATCAGTGCTAGTAAGTCTCACTTCTTGGTCTTCTACTCTTAACAAGTCATAGGATGTACTAGGCTTATTTGGTGGAAGCTAATGTTCTCACAATTGCATCTCTTCTTTTTAGCTAAATGCTTATGTATCGATGTGAAAGAAAACATAGAACTGTCTTTTGGCTCTTAATAGTAGACCCGTTGGATATTCAGAATCAAGTCGCTTAGGATTTGTTTCTTGCTAAGAATAAAGATTGGCATAGAGTGCTAGGGATACTCGTGGTTACGCTTCCATTCACGCTCATACTTGTGCTTTTCCCTTTCTTCTATGCCCTATTTGTTGCTATGTCGTTGTAGTAGTGTTCTTTTCTACACTTGCTTCTAACAAATATTCACTGTAGGCGATTGATGAAGCAGAAGATGAATGGAGTCAACACAATGCTAAGAAGCTCATAGATACAAGTGTGAAAGGGTTGAGGTCCTCAATTCCAAAGGATTTTCCATACTTCCACGTTGAATTCGGCTTAAACAAGGGGTTCGTTCATGTAATTGATGATGAAACACAGTTCAATAGCAGCTTTGGCCTCAATGTGGTAAGAGGAATGTTGAAGTTGCCACCTGAAGACATGCATCAGCAGCGTAGGAAGCGTGAATCAGTGGAGACACAGAGACAAGCTGTTGCTAGTTTTATTCGAGATTGGCAGCCTTTTGACTGGACTAAACAGCTCGACTAACAACACATTAGATGTATGATATCTGTACTCTGGATATAAATTTGTTATCCACATGTCGGTGTAGATTGTGTTTGTAAAGGAGGTAGCGAGTGAGTAATCATACTCTCTGTATCAATATTCTTGCGTAATTGTGACGCTAATAATTTGGTTTTAATGCTGGAAATGTAAATTCATCTGGAATTTTTTATCGCGGAAAGAAAATGGAAACGATATGGTTAAAGCCTCGCAGAAGAGTAGCCATAGGAAATGACAGTAAGAGGGCCTATTGCATTGGAATTATCCCGGTCTTCTATGGAGCATTATCTAGTTACTGAAGGAGGTGGTTCTATGCAGAGGCGGAGCTGGATTTCAAGCTTATGGGTTCGAGATTTTAGTTGTTAATTAATAATTTATACATATTTAATAAATGTTTTAAGATAAGTATATGGTTTGAATCAAAGTTACTGGGTTTGGCCGAACCCGCTTCCGACACTCTTGCTCCGCCCCTGTTCTAAGTGTTTTTATCTGTATAGGATAGGGTTGGTGTAGCTTTGGAACTTCAACTATTGGTAGGACACTTAATTAGTTATTAGAATTCCATGCAAATTGAAGTTGGACAGACCTAAGTTTTTAATGTTACAATTGTATCCAATAGGTATTTAGTTTTTTGAATAAATATTTTTGTTTAAATGGAATAAAACTCAGTCAATGTTTTAGTTATTCAATATTGAAAGAATTATAAGAAAATACATATGATTACACACCATAACAAAAAATGGCCTATGTTTTTAAGTTTTACCCAACCTAGCCCATATTGTACATATTTTAAAAGCACTAGCAAATTCAAAACTTGTGTTCTTATAACTATTGCTTCTAAAAGCTAAGGAGTTAAATGTGTTTTCTCACAACCATTACTTTCACTCTCTCTTCTCACATCTTCTACATATGCTTCAAAGGGCCGTCCGCCAGTGCTGCTTCTTACCCTGTGTCACTTGGTTGCAATCTAACAAGTCTAAATAACACCCACTCCAAATTTCTACACAAAATCAAATTCGAAATTTAAACCCACATGTTTAAGCTTGTTAAAAATTTAATTTTCACCATCCAAATGTAGAGCTAATATCTAAGTCACAGTTACTGATTCGAAAATTAACTTAAAAACTTGAGCAATCTTTTTTAAAATTTAAATAGTAATTTCTAGAACCTATTGGAGTTATTGGATGTTGAATCTTAGCCTATTATTTTTGGGCTAGTTAATTGTAAATTGAAATATGAACTATAAAATTAAAAAGTAGGGAGCTCAGTTGTTCTTATATCAAATTTTCTATAAAAATATTTAGCATAGAAAATATAGATAACCTGCACTAACTTGTTTCCCCGTTTCCAAATATAATTAGGAAAAAATAATTCCTTTTCCAAATAGAAATAGAAAAGAAACAAAAAACCTATAAATATTTAGGTACAGTAAACAGCCCTCCTCCCACAACCACTTATCACTTCCACCGTCGTAATGTCAAAGAAGAAAGTTCAAACGAGGCTAGCCATTAAAGGTGAAATATCCATTGATGTTCCAACCGATACCATTTTTTCCATACTTACTCGGCTTCCAGTTAAATCTTTGTTACGTTTTAAATCTGTTTCTAAACCATGGAATGCTATAATCTCCGACGATAAATTCACAAAAATTCACCATCATCAAACCAAAGCGTTAGGCCGCAATAAGCTATTGGTACAAAGACCTAGTGGTTATTTCAACTTTAGAGACCTCGAAAATCCTCAATTAATTTTGATGGAAAAACAATTATTTCCTCTAAAAAGATTACAACAATGTGCTGAAATCATGTGCTCATGTGATGGTTTGGTACTTGTTAAAGACCATAAGTCCTATAATGAGTATGTTTTGTGGAATCCATCTACCACAAAATATCGAATTCTTGAATTATGTCCTTATTTGAACCTGGACAACGAATGCCCAATTGCTTGTGGATTGTGCTATGATTCTAATCTTGACGACTACAAGGTTATTGTGATATGTAAATTTTTTTATGGTGTGAAGGATATATTTGTTTTGACTAGTTTAAAAGGTTGTCTTAGTTTATATGGTGGCACATACTACAATGAAGGATTGGACATATGGATTATGGAACAAGATGGTTGGAAATTGTTAATGAAAATTTACAACTTGCCCAAAATTTGCATACTGTTTGTACGTATTATGAAGCTTTTGTGGTGCAGTGAAAATGGTGAGATTTTCTTCCATGGACAGTCGATGAATCAACCTGTCATCTATTATCCTAAACAGAAACAATTTGTTACTGTTTCATTACCTGATATGTCGAGAGATTCCTAGTCTCCCCTGCCGTCAATATGTTTGGACAGTTTCTATTTTCCAATTAAAGTTGAGTGGCGGATTTAGAGGGGCGGAAGGGGGTTTTAAAACCTTTATAAGGTCATTACCTGACAAGGGCCGGACCACAAGGGTCCGGAGAGGTTGTTTTCACAGCCTCTTGCAAGTAAGGCTGCGTACGATAGACTCTTGTGGTCCGGCCCTTCTCTGGACCCCCCGCATACTGGGAGCTTAGTGCACCGGGCTGCGCTTTATTGGTTCACTTTGCGCTGGCCACAATCTCTTTTATTATGAACGCCCACTTAAATGAGTGAAAATTGGGATGTCTACTGGTCTAAGTGTAATCTCTCTGATCTTTAGTCTGAAGTGATTCTGCCTTTTTGTGGTTCCTTTTTACTCTTTTGTAGAAATGTGGCTTTGACATCAAGCTGATCTGGGATTTTTGATGGTTTAAGAATTTTGCCATTTCGTTAGTGCTGAATTCTGCTAATTAGTTCTTTCTCTGTGTTGTTATGATCGACATGGCAGTTTAGGTGCTGCACCTGTGTCGACACGACACTACTATGAGTGTGGATATGGGATTTTTACCGGATCTGGTCAAACAATTTTGGATACTTGACCACGACGGATAAAAAAATTCGAGACGAGATACAATTTGATTCACGAAATCAGAACCAAAACTAGGGTAAATTGGAAGAAAATAACATACCTTATCTAGGAAAGCACTCCTTATCTTATCTACAACTTGAAATATAAGAAAAATTCACACTTTACAAGCTGTACGTAAGTATTTGACAAAATTTCTCATAGTTTAGAGATATTTTTATATTTTTCATTTTTTTGAATTATTTTTAGATCCCCGCACCGTATTTGTACTAGAATCCGTATCCCCGAATCTTAGAATTTACATCTTGAAGGATCCAACATTTAGATCCGCACCCGTGTCCGAGCAACTTAGGTTATGATGGCAGCAGTGTTTCATCATCTTTAATATTTTGTCATTTTGATTGGGAAGTGGTTGTCACATTGGTAATGGTAAAACTGTTTATGGAATAAGGCTATAGTCATATTCTGGTTGAAGGAGTTTCAAGACTATGAGACAAAAGAAAGAAACGGAGTGTGATTGGACTGTTCTATGATGCTAGTTTATGCATTTTTTTAGGACAAAAGCTTAGAGTTAAAATTTTACATACAGCTAAATATATGGTTAGCAAGAGGGATATTCACAAGAGATGTGAAGGTTAAATCTGCAATTCGACTTGTCAAAATTAAAATGATTCATATCAATTGACTATTGCTAGGGGTAACAAACGTGCAGGTCGAAAATGGGTAATTAAAAAAATGGATAAATTATTCGACCCGACCTGCATTTTAGACGGATAAAAAACGAGTTATCCGGCGGATAATATGGATATCCATGAATTCCCTGGCTTCTTGAATATGATCACTTAATTATGGGAGAATTTCTAGTCTTCCAAACTTGAGGAACCCCAATTTGAAACTTTACAAATGTAAAAGTTAAACACATTAGTTATCCATTTTCGAAGTGGATAATGCGATTATTATCCATATTCGACCCGTTTTTAAATAGTTCATTATCCAATCCATTTTTAATGGATAATTTGGTGAATAACTGTTTTCTTTTAACCATTTTGCCACCTCTATCTATTGGTATCGTTTGATGGTCCTTTTTTCCATTCAGAAATCTAACCTTACTATACCAGTTCGCGTTGCTTAAAAAAAATTCAGTTTGCGTTGTTAAGAAATGAGATAGTTTAATACATTCATATGAGCATGGTAACAGTACCAGGGGTCTTAACATTTTGTTTGCATGGCTGAATTACTTACTTATTGTAACGATTCGACCGGTCGTTTTGAGCTCTAGCGCGTCGTTCAGCAGTCAGAGGCCATGAGCAGCTTCATTTCCGGTATAATGACTTGTACGCGTAGTCGGAATTAAGTTTCGGGAAGTTCAGAGTTGATTTGGAAAGAGAATTCTCATTTCGGAAGCTTAAAGTTGAAAGAATTAACTAGGATTGGAATTTTGAGTAAACGACCTCGGAATTGGGATCTGAAGGTTCCAGCGGGTTCGTATGATGATTTCAGACTTGGGCGTATGCCCGGATCGGGTCTTGGATGACCCGGGAGCGTTTTGGCGCCTATTGTGGAAGTTAACATTTTGGGAGAAATTTTATAAGTTTGGCTTGAAGTGCAGTTTAGTGTTATCGATGTCCGTTTGGGATTCCGAGTCTGTGAATAGCTCCGTATGGTAATTCTGGAGTTGAGAGCGCGATCGAAAGTGAATTCGGAGGTCCGTAGGTCATTTTGGAGTCATTTGGCTAAAGATAGAAATTTGAAGATTTTGAGAAGTTTGACCGGAAGTGGACTTTTTGATATCGGGGTCGGAATCTGATTCCGAAAGTTGGAGTAGGTCCGTAATGTCGAATATGACTTGCGTGCAAAATTTGAAGTCAATCGGACGTGATTTGATGGATTTAAACATCGAAAGTAGAAGTTTGAAATTCTAAAGTTCATAAAGCTTGGACTGGAGGTCGATTCGTGGTTTTGGCGTTGTTTGATATGATTTGAGGCCTCGAGCAAGTCCGTAACGTATTTTGGGATTGGTTGGTAAGTTTGGTTGAGGTCCCGGGGGCCTCGGGTGGATTCCGGGTGGTTAACGGATTGAATTTGGAGTTTGGAAGAAGGTTGAAGTGCTGGTTGCTGTCATAACCGCACCTGCGAGAATTGGGCCGCAGGTGCGGAGCCGCAGATGCGGGATTTGGTGAAGTGAGCTGGGACCGCAGATGCGGTCAGGGTCCCGCAGAAGCGGGACCGCATCTGCGGAAGAATGGTCGCAGAAGCGGAAGAGGGGCAGCTTGGGGTGGACCGCAGATGCGGTCAGGGTTCCGTAGAAGCGGGACCGCATCTGCGGAAGATAGGTTGCAGAAGCGAAAGAGGAGGCCTGGTGGGGAAACCGCAGAAGCGGTAGTTGGACCGCACCTGCGGAACCGCAGAAGCGGTCATAGGTACGCAGGTGCAAAAATTGCTGAAGGCAGAATGGTTGTTTTAAACTCGGGAATTTGCCATTCTTCTCCCATTTTTCACTTGGCATGGGCGATTTTGGGGAGCTTCAAGAGGGGATTTTCGTCATCAACGTCAAGGTAAGTCATCCCCACCTATTTTGAATTAAATACATCAACTATGTATGGATTTGAGCATGAAATTTGTAGAAAACTTGGGGGTTTGAGGAAAAACCTAGAAACTTATGGTTCTTGGATTTTGACCACGATTTTTGGTATAGAACTAAGAGAAAATCATATATTTGAGTTCGTGTGTTCATGGGTAAGCTTTATCTTCGAGAAATTTCGGATTCCAGGCACGTGGGCCCGAGGCATTTTGATCAACTTTTCGATCGGGGTTAGGAATTGTTATAAATTGGATTATAATGAGTACCTTAGCATATATTAATGGATTTACATAATTATTGGCTAGTTTTGGAGCGTTGTGCATCGATTCGAGTCTTCAGAAGGGCGTGGAATGCCGGTTATGGACCTTCGGAGCGAGGTGAGTCTCCTTTCTAACCTTGTAAGAGGGAATTGTCCCCATAGGTGAAATAATTGATTATGTGCTACTATTTGTGGGGGCTATGTACGCACGAGGTGACGAGAGTCCGTGCGTAGCTACTATTATGCTATTGTCCGGGTAGTTAGGACCCAAAAGCATGCTATACTTTGATTATTTGTGAACCTATTGATAGTTTGAATCGCTTAAGCACATTGAATTAATAAATAAATTTCTAAAAGGATTAAACTTCATTTTCTTAAATCGTTAAAAAGGGGATTAGACTTTATTTGGATGACTATTCCTTGATAAATTCGTAATTGGCTATTTGAGCATGTATTTCTATGTGTACCTGCGTCGCATGTATGATTCGCGAGCAGGGTACTTGTTTATTTTATGTTGACCGCTTCGCAGGATAGTTCGCGAGCGGGGTAATAGATGCATCTATGGTTCGAGCCGTTTGACCCTCGGCAGTGCACAATTTACTTTTATGTTGGATCGGGCCGTACGTCCCACGGTGAATATTTGCGCATGCTGGTATTGTTGCCTTGAACTTATTAAAGTTGTTGTTGCCTCTTCATGGCTTGAAAATATTTGGATAAATAATGAAAAGAAAATTATGGAAATTTCCTATAAACGAATTAACTGTTTACTCGTTTCCTTCTATTGGATTAAAAATCATGTTTATAAAGTCCACGATTTAATGAGTTATTGACATCATTATTGGACCACTAGTAAGTGTCGAAGTCGACCATCTCGTCTCTACTTCTTCGAGATTAGACGGGATACTCATTGAGTACACGTTGTTTTCGTACTCATACTACACTTTTGTGCATTTTTGTTGCACAGGTATATGTAACTCTAGTGGCCTACTGGGCGTAGCAGCACGGATGATTCGGGGACTAGTGAGTTGCATTATTCGAGGCGACCCGCAGCTAGTATAGTCCCTTTCAGTAAATTGTATTTACTTTCTGTCCACTGTATTTCGGACGGATGTTGTATTGTATTATCCCTTAGAAATTGCTCATGCACTTGTGACACCGGGTTCTGGGATAGTTTGAAATATCTTGTATTAATTGCTTATTATTAAATTTGAATTGAAGCAGCTATCTTTTTACTTACGAAATAAGAAGGGAAAACCTTGGTTTTTTTCAAAATTGTTTAAATTGGAATCTAATTAAGTATTTTAGTTGGCTTGCCTGACAGCGGTGTCCGGCGCCACCACGACCCTTAGTGGATTTTGGGTCGTGACAATATGGTATCAGAGCACTAGGTTCCTAGGGTCTCACGAGTCATGAGCAAGTCTATTAGAGTCTCGCGGATCGGTACGGAGACGTCTGTACTTATCCTCAGGAGGTTGCAGGACTGTTAGGAGTACTTCCCTTCTTGATTCCTTATCGTGCGATTTGATCTTTGGAGGCTTATGCCTTTGTTTCTTTCCT